CCCCCCCCCCCCCTCTTCCTTTACAAATGCTAAAAAAATTGTAAAATAAAAACTTTTATTACAGACATTATTGTAGACCTGGTGATATCATCCCTGGGTCTCTGTGCTTCTCTATAAAATACAAGCAGATCATGGCTGGTGGAAGGGGTCAGCAGGGTGCACTCTGCCTCAGTACTCCTTCTAAGAGCCCTCAGCCCTGCTGCAAGCAGTGTGCTGCTCTTGGGAAGAGTTATGCAGATATCAAAATTCTATGATATGTGTCAGTCAAGAGGCATGGGCATTCCTAGGCAGACAAGATATGTGATGCTGAGCCTCCATGATTAAAAGAACTGAAATCCACAGAATAAAGGCGGTAGGCCAGATGATGCTGGATAGTTGCTGGATGCTGTATGTACTATATGTATGTATCTATATGTACTGTGCGATCAAGAAATCCACCTTTGTAAGTAAATGTTTTTTTGTGGTAATGTAGATGTGCGGTGATGATGTGTATATGTGTGTACGTTTTCACGACTCACATTGCTGGCTTTCTTCATTTTTGTATGGACTTTTTAGTAGGCCTGAGTCCTACAAATGAAAACTTTTCTCCACAGGAACTCAGCCTGGCACTTGGGTGGGATTGTAAAGCAGGTGACCCCCCTCCCTGCGAGTCATTGTAACAAGATGAATGCACACCAGCTCTGCCTTTCCAGATCATAATACACTGTCCAGGTTGGGTCATCACTATGATTACTAATGAATAGGGGGAAGCTCAGAGAGAGAGTGTGTGAATTTACACAGACACTTGTACTTCATGGAGGCGGCCATTTCAAAAGGAACCATGAGGAGATGAAGATGACAAAAAAGTAAGTTTCTGTGTTCATATACAACAGTATATGCTGGCTTCATGTTCACTCTGTGTACATTGCTGGCATATGTTTTTTTAAGTATACTTCCGCAAAGGTGGAAATGGGCTTTAAATGCATATGTTCCCAACAATTTGTCTTCAGTAATCTTACTTTACAAAGCTTAAATCAAAAACATTTTTAATTTGCTTGCTGCATCTAAAGGTATCTGAGAAAAAAGCTGGTATTATGGTCAATTTTTATATTAAAGTCTTGTTAGATAATTCTGCACAAAATGATTACCAAAAGCCTCTGCTTTAGCCTAACTGCAAATATCGATTTTTTTAAAGGTTATAGGAAACTGTATTACACAAATTTGGCTTGTGCCTTGCTTTAATAATATAACAACAAAAGAAAGGGCATGGGGCTTTAAAGGTGTCATATACAGATTATGCGGGACAAAGTCACATGGAATTATGACATTAACAAAATATGTATTCAAAATACATGATTTATTTGGAACATGCTGTATATAAATATGCTCATCTCATTTAAAGTGTTTCATAAATTGCTTATCTTTTAACAATGTCCATAATTGGTTTCTGTGTTTCAGTAATTTTTCTCTTTATTTCATGCATTTTAAGTGCAGTGAGTCCAAACTTCAACGCATTTCGCCGACTGGCTTCATCAGGAAGTTTAGGGTTATCGCCTATAACATGTATCATATTTTCTGGCAAGAGGTGATGAGTCAGTCCACTGATCCGGGGGCTAACCCCCATAATCCCAGGGAGGCAGAGAGAGGAGAGGGACATGCACGGACGGCCAAACCAGGGGAGTCAAATACCCATCAATATACACCTTAGTATTTATAAAGTACACTGAGGTAGGTAGATGACTCCACCCAGACAAACCGTCCATCCGCACCCTCCACTCTCACCGAAATAATCCCTGCTGCACCAAACTACAACGCTCAACATCCGGCGTGTGACGTGCTCAGCCTGGGCGGGCCAATCTTGCTTTAATACATTTCCAATCAAGAACCAAATAACACAAAATATTATACCGATGTCCTTAACTCGGTCCTTCACCCAGGTGTCCCAGAAAGTGTCCAGCTGTGTGGTCAGATACCACGTGTCCACTAGATTCAAGGAGAAGACATTCCCCCACAAGCCTACACAGAAAAGCAAAAAAGACAATAACATGATGGACTCATTAGCCAGGAAAATGTTATACAGCTGAAAGGAAATATATAATGTCTTTGTATTTTTTATTTTTGTTATGTTCAGATTTAAAATATTCAAAATAATTGCTATTTTAGACAGGCAATGTGAAATATTACTCATACAGATTAGATGTTTACTATTTAAAGGCAGTAAGTGGCTCCTTTTCACGTGTTAACCAGGCCATCCTGGTTAACACGTGTTTAGAAAATGCTGTTGTTTAAATTGCTGAAAAGCTAAAGCTAAACTATGCAAACAGCCGACTTAGATGAGTGACCCCTTCCACTCTGTATGGCACAGTATTGAGAGAGAGAGAGAGAGAGAGAGAGAGAGAGAGAGAGTAACAAGGGAGAATCTACTGCTGTGCTCTCTCTTTAGACCCAACCCAGAATGCCTTACATAATCAGTGTCATGGGTGCACAATGTACTAAAGCAGAACTACAGCTTTAATGATCAATATACTTACACTGATCCAGCTTGGCTCAATCTAAGCATATATACAGTGAAAGGAATTTACCAAAACTGGAGCAGATGGAATCTGGAGCATCTGTGCATGGCCATGGCAACCAATCAGCTTTTCTCTTTCATTTTCAAATCTTAGCTGAACAAACTAAACAGAGAAGCTGTGCCATGGTTGCCATGCACAGCTGCTCCAGATTCCATCTGCTCCAGTTTTGATAAATTCCCCTCAGAATATACAGTATAAATGATCCTTGGCAGGGCCATGGGGATCCTGTAATACAATGTAGAAGTCACAGCTACAACAGCACATTACAGCATCTTTCAGAAGATACCTAATACTTTTCTCAATGAATCATACTCAGCGAGTGACTCTCTGTGCTGTAACAGCACAGGGAAGTCGCTCAGGATAGTGGCTGTATCAGGACCCAGAAGATGCTGTAATACACTGTAGTAACTGCAGCTACTACAGTTTATTACAGCATCCCTGTGGCCCTGTATACATACATTGTGCCAAGCTGGTCCAATGTAATTTAGGGGTCTATTCACTATGCTGCCGAGGGGTCTATTCACTATTAGCCGAAGGATCGGCCGAAGCTACGGCCAGATCCCTCGGCAGCTTTGTGAATAGACCCCTTAGAGTTTAAAGTTATTAAACATCAGTGTTAACAACCTAAATAAAACAATCGTAATATCATTATATTTTATCCTTATAAAGAAACTGTAACTATCTTGGGATTTTTTTTTGTGCAAATTTTAAATTGATGTTTCATATCTTGATTGATAGATATATACAGTAGATATATACATAATTGTTATATTATTATATACATTTATTATAAGATAGGGGATTCCCAGATTATTACAGGTATCACAGCACAAGTGGTTTCTTTCAGACACCCTGTGAAACCTTTGATTAGGTCATACAGAGAGCCCGTGAAACGAATTCAGTGGTGTGAGAAAATTTCAGCTTGAGCTATTGAACTTTGCTAGTTGGATATAAGACTACAAGATATTAATAAGCAATATTTCACATTTACGTAACTTTAACGTAACTTAAATAAAGAAAATATATAATAAGCAAATGATATTCCCTTTAGCATGCCAAGTGCGCTGTCCGCAAAACTTTACCTTGTAGGTAACATATGCGAGGTTCAGGGTGCTTCTTCATTAACTGCCCCATATAGAATTCACTTCCAAAGTCTTCTGTGCGGATGGAGGCGCCGTATTTCAGAAGCCCTACTTCATATGGTGTAAATTCACACCACTCTGGAAAGAAATTGTTGATTATGTGTTTAGATGAAGCACTGAGATCTTGAGGAATGCTGAATTCAGTTTTACTTGTTTAGAAAAACAATAAATGTATGTATACAGCATTGTGAAGGAAACATATAGATAGAAAAAACAGCTTCCTGTGTGTCATGGACAGGGCTGTAGCTACCATGGGGCGAGTGAGGCACACGCCTCAGGCGCAGCTGAGAGGGGGCGTAGCCAGGGCCAGCAGACGTCCAACACAGCTTCTCCTCGCATTCCCCACTGCATGGGCAGAAGACTCTGTGTCCTCAATCTCTTTTTCTATTTCAAAATGGAAATGCCAGAGGACTGTTTAGACCCCTGACACTTCCTCGAAGCGCCCAGAACGCGCGCCCCACCACACCACACTATTAGACATGTGCAAAGACTAAATGAACGGAAACTAAAAATGTTTTCATTAGTTTCGCAAAACAAAACAAATTTTTATGCTATTTGGTGCCGCCATCCTGGAGGCGGGGCGCGTGCGTGGCATAAGGTGACATAACACGTCTGTTGGGGGGCACAATTTTTTGTTCTTGCCTCGGGTGCAAAAGGAGCTAGCTGCGGCTCTGGTCATGGATAAGCATGCACATAGAGAGTAACATTGCACTACACTGCCATCTACAGCTCAAAAGACATATTACATCTCTGAACATTATTAGACCATTACAGGTAGCACATTAACATACAGTGTCCACCGCACATAACACTCCGCTAGCCCTGTAGACTATAACGCCCTGGAGGTAGACACTTTTTTTTCATCAGTTTAGTGTGAGTGTTCTGAGGGGTTATAAGCATTAGTAAGTAATATATAGGAATTGGGTGCAACTGCAGATTGTATGACAGGTAGTCATACTTAATTGAAAGGAAAACATTATCACAATGTTATATACTGTATGATATGTACAACAAATGAAAAGTGTACATTTTTCATAATTATAAAAAAGAAAAAGGCTTTTTCCCCTTAGTTTTTGAGCAGGAAGCAATGAATTGAGCAAGTTTAATTGCTTAAACAGTGCCTTGTGTTTATTAAATACCTTTAAAGTCCAGTGTGCTGATTGCATCCTGCTTTACATTCATAGCCAGGTAAATAGGTAAGGGGTTCTGGCCGTTGTCCAAGGCCGATTGTTGATCAGAAAGCCTGTTTTCATTCCTCTGCAAAATAATCGGTTATATTACAATTATGGTGGACCTTCAACTGAATAAAAAGTTGTAAAAATCAGGAAAGTAAAAGAGAAGAAGAATTTAAGGTGACATTAAAGATTAACTTTTTTGTATTTGTATACTCAGGAGCACCTGTGTGGGATGCAGAGCCTGTGTTCTTTTTTTTTACTCCTTCAATTTCTCGTTCTCTAGTGGATCCCGGCGGCGTTCTTCTCCCGCCACCTGCACGGGTCTGCCAGCAGCTAAGCAGCTGTTGTGGAGGCACCCGCGCATGCTCGTACTCGCAGTAGCTGTGTGCGTCCATAGACACACACACAGCGCTGCGGCAGGCCATGCCCCTTCTCTCTGCCCAACAGGTTGATTGACAGCAGAAGGAGCCTATGGCTCCTCTGCCCTCAATCTCCTTCCCCAGAACCAGAAAGTTTGGGACAGAGGAATCCTTTGGGGATGGCGGCGGTGACAAACAGCAGGTAAGTGTGGGGGGGATGGGGGACACAAAAAGGTACTGGGCATGTTTCACCTTAATGCAGAGAATGCCCTGCCTTTAATACTACTTTAAGGGTTTCCACCGATACCAAGTACAGCAGGGGCGTCCCGAGGCTGGGTGACACCCGGAGCGGTGTCCGAGTGTCACCTAGCCGAGAAGTCACCGCGCATGCGTGTGACGTCACCACGTGAGTGCGCGATGACGTCATCGCGCACTCGCGGCAGTATTCTGATACCTGCCGGCGGCCATCTTGGTGATGGACGCCGGCAGAGAGAGGAGGAGACAGTCACCCGGCAGGATAAGGTATGCCGCCGGGTCCCCTCCTCTCTCCTGATACTGTCGGGCGTTTGGTCCATGACCGAGCGCCCCGACTTTTCAAGAGGGGGGTGGCACCAAAATGACTAAGTCATTTTGGTGTCACCCCTCCAATGGTGTCACCCGGGTGCGGGCCGCACCCCCTTGTGACGCCACTGAAGTACAGTACTCGGTACAAGTACAAGTACAAGTACATGTACCAATACTTTTCCAGCTCCAGACCAGACTAGAGAAACATTCAAAAGTTAGGAGGCAGCTGTCATTTGTAAGGAGCATACGGAGGGCCTGGGATTTGTACATCTGTTTTAATGTATGATTTTGTTTTTATAAATCTAAATAAAGGGATGCACAGAGACCAGTTTTGCGAGTACAAGTACTGATATATTTTTGTTTATTGTCATGTGACAGTTTTTCTAAAACAATATCGACTAATGATTTCAGGACAGCGGTGGAGCGCCAGAGCCAGGTCCCAGCTGCAACCGCTGCACCCTGGTAGTTCTCATGAAAATGCCAAGTATCTGCACTGGTACTCGAAAAGTATCTGTGCATCCCTAATGCAAACACAGCAGAGTATTCCAGGGCCATGTCACCAGTCTTAGGTCCCTTTCAGACGAGCGTGTCATGAGAGGATCCGACAACAGATCCTCTCCTGATCACAGCAGTACGGATTGGATGTCACCGCTGTGACATCCGTATCAGTACAGTTTTTTCCTCCATCTTGGAATAGAGGAAAAAACTAAAGCTACCGGATCCCATGTGTGTCTATGGGGAATCTGATGTAAACAAACATGTGTCTGTTTACATCAGATTACCCCCGGTCCAGCACAATCCGGTCCGTCAAAATGAATCTCTGATTAGTTTATTTTTCTTGACCTAGCAGGAGCCTTATCACATTCGATTACATGCAGACTGCTGAATACAGATGGGGCTGCTGTCACCCGGTCATGAACTTGAACAGGTACAGCGGCCGCATCTAAACTAGAGATCTGGGATTCCTGCTGCAGGAATCTTAAAATGCATAGAGTGAATGAAGCGAATGAAGCCTAGCACTTTGTTTACTGTATCTTACTGATTAAAATTAACATTGTTACCAATAGCAATGAGCTAAGGAAAAAATAAATCAATAATAATGATTATAATTAAACTGAATTCAAAGGTAACAGGTTTTATTTTAAAAAATGTCTTACCCCATTGTGAAACATTGATTCAATCATAAGCCCCCAGAGGTCAGTGAATGAGGTTTTCTGGCCATTCTTGGCAGCCTGTCGGAGTTCCTTACGATAGTATTTCAGCCTCTGCATTGAGAAAGTGCTGATTTTCTTCTTTGTCACATGCTTCTTTGCATTGCTTATTGAATCTGAAAGCTCCTTTTGTGACCATTTAGGATCTTCATAAAGTTTACTCATGGTCCTAAGTAAGAGGAACAAAAGGCGTTACGAATACATTTATTCAAATAAATAGTAAATTGTAAGATGCTGAATAGAGCATACAGGAGTATCTGTGCTAATTTCATGCCTCAACCATGCTACTGTCAAAAGCCATAATTATATACGGTATACATTGGAAAAACCGTATATGAAATTACATGTACATTGTTATATACATGTATATAATTTTTACCCAAACAACAAGGTTGATCAGTAAAAAAAAAATGTACTTTATTACACATACAGTATACTTAACATGGAACTGAAGCCAATTTTGTTTTTTTTCAACCCCTGTCAGGTTTTTGTTTTGCCATTTGTATCCTATTGGGGGATTTTCTCTTAACTTCCTGTCTGATAGACACAACAGAAAGTGAGAGGAAATCTCACCAAAGAGAGGGAAATTCCTGGCAGTTAACAGGGTCACCAGAACTAGTGTCCCCATTGGAAGATTTCCTATCTATTCCTTGTTCTGATGACAGCCCAACATTTGGGATTTCCCTTCACTTTCGCTGTCAGTGATATTGCTCACCAGGACAAATGAAGAGGGTGAATCCCCTTGATGGGGACACAGACAGTGATAAAAACATGACAGGTGTTCTAATCCCTCTCCACTCTATCCAAAAGTTCAAAAAAAGTTTTGGCTTTAGTTGCACTTAAATATAGTTAGAAACTGCACATTTGTACCCTTGTAGCCTTGTGACATATATGGTCTGATGCAAAAAAAAAATCACTTGTTACAACTAATAATACTAACTAAGAATGCCATGACCCCCAGCTGATTGGGTGGAAAGCCCATGTAGCTCAGGTTTAGACCGTGTTCAGTGAATTCATGATATGTTAAGTGCTGTGTAAATTGACAGCGCTATATAAATGTCTGTAATAAATAAATATGTAGCGATCCAATAGGAAGGTGCAATGAATCATTTAATATGTAATAATATAATATATTATAAATAAACCATCCATGCGTATACACAGCTGCCACAGATGCAATCTGTAAGACCCTTCCATCTAATGTTCATCAGACCATTGCTTAAACAGGAGTACATCAACACTGTGAGCCAATGTTGTGCAAAACTCTGTTCTTATTAAATATATTTGGCACATCACCAAGTAAATGTTTATGTCCCCTAGTCTGCATTTCTACAGAGAGTGTAATATAATTTTAATTATTAACAAAACTGCTGGTTTTGTGCAAATTGTGCAAATTGTCCAAATTGGCAAGAAACTGTTGTGCTTAGAAGTCTTTCTTACCATGTAGAACCGGAGGCCCCTGCAATGTACGTGGTACAATCCAGCAGTCCCATCTTCTGGAGTCCACACAGATGACTGTACAAAGAGGACATTGCTCTGGCTCCTCCGCCTGTTGCCATTACAGCCACAACTGGGATCTATATGTAACAAAAAAAGGGAGTCTTTGCACACTGGACCATACCACTGCAAATGTATGACACAGGGAGATAAGAATAGCAGGGCAGCCTATGTAATGCTTCTTTCCTGCTCTTTTGACCTCACTGCTTTCCCTCACTCATAGAGCAAGCCAGGAGCTTTCAAGTGCAATATGCAACTATATTTTCTGAATTTTAAGGCCCCTTTCATACTTTAATTTGGGACAGTCTTGCAAATTCATGTAAACGTAGCGGTTTGCGGCCAATCACATATAATTGGACAATTCATCTGTGAATACAGAGCTGCATTAATTTAATGTCTACATGGAGTTTCGCTTTAATGATATGGACAGATGTATTCAGAAATTGTAAATTCAGCAATGCTGGTAATATGAAGTTTCAACTAATCTGCCTTGGTGTGCTGATCACCACATGGCCATATGAGTTTTGCATCTTCCCTATAGTTCTAGTTATATTGAGGCTAATGGATAATAACATGCATCCTTGATGATGTAGCAGTATGTTCAAACATTCTCACCTCGTCACCCACCAAATCCTTATCCAGCTGCAGGACTTTTCTTAGCGCTTCAGCTACTACTTGCTGGCGTTTGTGAAGAAATGTCTTCTCTTTGTCACACAGATCAAACCCCAGCCTCACATCCAGCTTTTCTGGACTAGAAAAAGAAAGGTTATTTTTTTAAAGCTCAGCCCACCTGGGCAATCTTATCTCGGTAAGATAAGGAGGTCTAAAGGAAATGCTAGCTCCAGAGTAGGATCATCACTAAGGTGTGCTTTACCCTGGATCTAGTACCGGCTACTGAAATTCAGACAGTGGCAACCTTCAGTGCTAGATAAGAGCCTCAGCTGTGATGAAGAACAGACATTCTAAAAAGCCCCTTCTTTGTCAATGCTCGCCCTACCTGTCTGAGAAGAAGCTTCAATCACTCCCAGTCTGCATACTACAGGGGAAGTCAAGCCACCCACTGATGTTGACTACGTTTAGCTTTCTACCTAGTCCACCCAGGGATCAAAGAGTGCCTTCTGTCAGGGAGCATTGAAGCTACTTCACAGACAATTTGTTGCAGTCATAAAGGATTCTTTCCAAAAGGAAAGTCCATAGGTTGAATGTGGTGGTTTACTACCAGACATACTGTAACTGTTCCTATCCTCCTGGGAGCTCAGCTTGTTCCTGCCCACCATAACATCTTCCAGACCCTCCTGTTGTATTCTCCATATATCAAATAAGAAAATCCACCAGGAAAACGTGGACTCCTCAATACTGTCAGGTGGTTTATTTCTATTCCAAAAATGTAAACATGAGTGTTGGGTGGACTAAAACAATTTTGCAGGAGATTGAAATACTGTGCTTTGTAGTTGTAAATTACAGTTTTGCTTTCTTATGATTGCAAAGGCCGTCATTTATTTAATATGCACAAGGTGAAGTGCTCAAGTCTTTTTATGGTATTAGAGGAACTGTAGATGAAGCTACAGAATACTGTATATGTTCAAAGTAAGAGTTGTCGGAAAAACAAAAAACATTTGTAAATTACACTGTGTCTGTACTTCTCCAGTAAATCACCAAACTGATACCTCAAAGACTGTACAGGATGTACACTGCTTTATAATACCAATTGTGTGAAATGGAGTGTTATACTAAATGTTATTTTGTGTAATTTCATCGTAGTGTGCACAGAACAGTTTTTTGGAGGTAAAAAAAGGATGCAAAGAAGAAAATACACCATCATTATTTACATCTAAGCATTTGTCACAATTTCCTATGATTTCTTGCAAATGGCACTAGGTGGCTGTGCAAGTTCATCTGCAAAGATATGTTGGCTTTCCAAATCAACATAATGTAGCATGTAAGAAAAATGAATTTGTGCATCTACAACAAGGTTCCCGGGAGTGGTAAATATTGATCCCAAAGGGTCGATGGGACTATCTAAAGAGGTCGATAAAATGGTTGGGGGTCAAAAGGGGGTCAGCAAATGTCTGGGGGTCAATAGGTGTTCAATAAATGATGGAAGGGTCATCTAATCTTCTGAGGTCTCTGTGGAGCCTCACACCAGTCCCTAGTCCTGAAGGTGAGGTGGCTAGCAGTGGGACAGGGTTGCTCAAGGTTGCATGGTCAGCAACCAGCGAGAGTGACATTGAGTTGTCCCCTATCATCATTGTGTTAATACTGGCATTATTCTAGGTTTTTTTGCACTGTTTGGCTCTTACCTTTCACATTCCCCTTACCAGGAAGGATATATGTACATATTCACTTCCTGTATTGAGCCTCCTCCCTCACCTCAATTTCTGAGTAAACCCACCTCAAACTCCCCATGTTGATGAGCATAAGGGCCTCTTCCCCACAATAACTACCCCTTACTCATTCATGTAGGGAAGTGGTGGCATCCGGGTGCCCCCTTATAAGTTCCCTTCCCACAGACCCCCACAACGACTGGGCAAGGGTTGTGGAAAAGAGGCCCTTGACCTCGTCGACATGGGGACCATACTCCATGTTGAGGGCAAATGGCCTGATATGGTGCAGGGAGGGGGCGGCACGATCGCCCCTCCCCTTTCCTGCTCTGCCGGGCCACTGCTCAGATCAAGGGTATTTTGGGAGGACCCCGTGGGTTTTTTTTGGGGGGGGCATAGAGCTGCCCCTTAAAAATCCTACCAGACCTAAAGGGCCTGGTGTGAATGGGGGAAGCCCAACACTATTTTGTTTTTAATTATTTACATTAAATGTGTTTTTTATTTTAAAGAAAACATCCAAATGTCCGAAACGAAAAAACTAAACTTCGGATTTTCGTTACAAATCTAAATCATGAGTGGATCCGAATATCACAAAAACAAAACAAATCAAAATCCAAATGGACCTGAAATTAAACACACTTTTTGCTGGATTATATGTCTAGTCATACTCAAGGTTCCATCCCTTTTGTGTACACTTATGGCTTACTATTATTATCATTGAGTTAGTAAATTCAAGAGCCTGTAGTGATGATGGCTATGTGTTCCCTGAGCTGCACAGAGCTGCATTTCTTCTCTGCTGCCCCTGCACTCCCTTTACTTCTGATTATGTATTGAGCAACAAGCATCAATTACTGCCAAAACAAAGTTAAGCAAAATGTATATGAAAAAAAGTGTTAATTTTGGGAGTTAGTATAGCACCTACTTTACCCTGGCTAGGCCAGGCCCGTCTTTAACGCATTGCAAAAGGGGCACTTGCCCTGGGCCCAGTTATTGTTGTGGGGCCCAAAGCAGACCGCCCCTTGAGCCTGCACTGCTCGCTCCCTACCTGGAGATGCGGGATTTCAGTGTCCCGTCCCTTCTCCCCCCTCACCCTCCTGGTTTCCCTTATCTCTCCAGAGATAAGACAGACAGCAGAGATCGGCAGACCGGGACCTTTGTCTGCTATGCCTAGCAACTGATGACGCTGATGGGCGGGCTGTCATAATTACGTACTTCGGCCCGCCCATCACATCATCAGTTGCTAGGCAGAGCAGACAAAAGTCCTGATCTCCCGATCTGCTGCCTGTCTGCAAGTAACAGCAGGGGGGGGGAGAGATTAGGGAAACCAGGAGGATGAGGGGGGAGAGCAAAGGGATCACAGGCTCAATAACAGACTCTGATCCCCTTGCAGACAGGCAGCAGAGATCAGAAGATCTGGACTTTTTTTTAAATCAAAGCACAGGGATCAGAGCCTATCATGCATGCCTAGACCAGCCAGCCCGCCCATCTGCATCATCAGTTGCTAGGCAGACAGGGGGCTGATAAACAATATATATATTGTTAGTATGTGATGCAACATGCATCACTTTTCTATGCACTAAACATTAACAGAAAACTTACCATTCTTTCACTTTTATCTGGATATCCAATGGCTTGGCCTGCTAAAAGAACAAAATATATTTAAATACATTTAATATTACCCTACTATATTTTATTACTATATCACACTACACACCAACAAAAAAAACTTGAATATTGTCATAAACTGATATATGAACTGTAATTGCAATACAAGTCATTTTACAATTCAAATAAAGCTACAGTCAGCCTTCTGCATATAATAGTGTAGCATTCCCAGAAAAAATCTTCGGCTTACTCTACTGGGAGTTTTTTCTTTGGCAGTATTTACCACTCCAACCTGGGAAGTCAACTTGGGAGGGATGGGTTTTAAAAAAAAATGTTTTAACAAGTTAATATTACAAGTATGATCACTATTTACAGACCAAAAACGAGATCTGTAGCCTTTACGGCTAAAATCCCTGCAGTGTAGAAAACTGATTATGAAAGCCTTGTTTTCTCTGAACAAAACTCCATGCCTGACAGCAATATTCCTTTGCTTACAAGGCTACCTGTCTCTCAAAACAGGTACAGTAAAGCCTTTGAAACCACTTCCATGGTGGTAGTGTTTCTTTGTTGTATTGTGATTGGCTGTCTTAGCTCACAGATAATCAACGATAGGAAAGGAGGATGTTCTGACAAATGCAGCATATAGGATGGTCAGGGGGCAACTTGTACCTTTTTAAAGAGATATCTAGATATAGAGATACAAATATAGAGATATCTATTTTTGTAAAGAGATATCTAGCTGGAAACACACATAAATGAATGTTCATTAAATTCAAGTGATTTTAACCCATGGAACGTGTTGTAAAAGTGAAGCTAAGTCTCTTTCTTTTCATGGGATCTGCTGGATATTGGCTTGTAAACTAACTAACTGCATTGTTAAAATCTTCATTCACCCTAAACATTCACAAAACTGAACTAAACACAGTTGATCAGAATCTTCACTTGCCTCTATTGCAGGTATCTGGATGCTGGTTTCATTCTCCATAGGAGAGATTAAACTAAGTGGAACTGTAGTGTGGTTTAGGCCATCATTTTCGGTTTCATTACTCTGAGAAAAAAGAAAATGCTGTTATATTTCTCACTCGTTTCTCCATAATGAATATTTAAAGGTAACCTTCAGACAGAAAGATCATTATACTGTTGAAGTACAGCATCAGGGCGGAAAAGTTGCCCGATCGAGACCAGACTCTCAGTGTGTGGGCTGCCGCTGCGGGCGGGCGGCATCTGAAGGATGCGGGATCTGAAGGATGCGGCGCTGACCTGTGCAGTGCAGTCTCAGACTCAGTGACACTCAGTCTCACTGAGTGTCTCGTCCTTCCTTGGCTACGTCAGTGAGTGACGTAAGGCCCCGCCCCTGGTTCACCTGGCCGCTCAGCCGCATGTGAAGGACTGGAGCGAGGGCTGCAGGAGGCGGAGCAACGGACGGACCGGACCAGCAGGCAGTGTGGCGGCAGTGGCGTCATCCTGGAGGCGACGGCGACCTGTTGAGGGACTCGGGAGCGCCCGGTGCACAAATTTTGAAGTTGGAACCGAGCGAGGAGGCGATTTCACCCTCTCTTGGTGACCCACGGTCGGACTCGTATCGGGAATCGGGATCGGGAGCTGGCTGAAGTGGGAGCGGTATGTAATGTTACAAAGACAAAGTGCACGTGGTATGCTGCATTGTATTGTATTATTTTGTATTGTATTGTGCATTGTATATACAGTATATTGTATTGTGTATTGACAATACACAATACAATATACAATGCACAATACAATA